TGTAGACCTGCCTGTTTGTAACTGGAGTTTGGGGGACCCGTTTCCACAATCTAAAGGGGTGTCATTGGAAAGGTGCAGATGGGACTTCTGGAGCATTGGGTTCAATGCTCTGCTCTGCCATAATCCTTCATGATGTTGGGATAGTCGTTGTTTTACAGTTGCTCACCTGGAAAATGGGAGTTGTGAGGATAAATGTGTTAAAGGTACTGAAGTGCTCAGCATGTTGCAGGGACAAGGCACCTGACCAACCTAATGCATTTCCCTGTTTTTAGAGACTATAAAGATGTGATGATTGGCAAGTCTTTGTTTTATTCACCATAGCCTTTTTTTTGTAGTGAAGGACATTTCTCTCTATTGAATCCTGTAAATGGTGTGAATGAAAGTAAACCCTTTTGAATGGCCTGCCATTTCAGTTTAGAGTGCCAGATTGTGGAGAATTTGCCCAACATATTCCAAAGGTTAATTACCTAGGCTGCCAAAGTGTTCTCTCTTATTTCCCAGTGGAATTTTTGTAATTTCATCTCTCAGCCTTTAGAGCTGATGATCAAACTGATGGTTAAGATGGCTTTTAGCAATGATGGCATTATATTAGCGGGTGATTGTGCTCTGAATCTGTTCAGTCTCAGAAGATGTGCAGTATCCTACCCTATAAAGACCACAGCCTTTGGCCATCTGCTGTTGTCCCAGTTTCTCTGTGTCTGGAGCTGGCATCTCTTTTTAGCACCTTCTGCCTCTTTGTTGCTCTTCCCCAGCTGTGGCTCTAGTCAGATTTTTGTACAGAGGTAGGGAATGTCTGTCTCACAGAGTATTTTGTTGTCTTTGTATGAACACTGTAATGCGTGGTCAGAAATACTTCATCTCCCAAGATGAGGTTTGAAAGTGGTTCTGCTATGTTCTGCAAAGTGCTGTAATTTATCAATTTCCAGTGATGACATCTCGGAGACGATGGTATGCTTGGAGAAGCACAGATTTTGGCTGGATCGCCTGCTAATCAATGAAAAATACTGAGAAGAATCTGAAGAATACTGTTTCAAAACAATTCTGGGTAACTTGATCATTCATGATTTCTGAAAAGGAAACCTAATGGCAGTGGGCTAACTGGACAGACTGTATCGTGGTTGCTGGGATTTCCAGATTCTTTGGCAGATGTTGGGGAAACATGATTTTTACTTGAAAGCTGTAAATGAAGAAAAGGACCATGGTATCACAGCCAGTTAATGTAGAATTACAAAATGTCTTATTCTAGTGCATTCTGTTTTGTCTTTACTTCTTGCTTTTAATAGATGCATAAATTGCAAATTTAATTCAACATTGAATAACCTATGCTAGTAATTTTTTTCCTAATTTGCCAGTTAGAATACAGTTCTGTTTTGCTTGCCAATCAAATTTATTTCATAAAATAATTTATTTTCATAATTATTGAACTTTTTTGATTGCAGTGAGATACTAATGTCTGGAAAAATATGTAGTTTCTTTAGGTTGTCACTTTGTTCTTAATATATTTTAATTTTTAACTATTATGATTAACTTGTGTATTATGAGAGAGCTAGCCTTTGCCTCAGTAAGAAGTATATGAAATAACCAAGACAATAAGGCCAGGGTGTTGGGAAGTAGGATACAAAGCCTGAGTAATACCAACATCCCTTTTTTAACATAAATTTGGTAAAAACTAAAATTGGCCATATTAGAATAGGAACTTTGGCAAGTACTCTAAAAATACTTTCACTGTGGAACGTGTAAAGTAGACATTCCATTAAAAACTCTAAGCTTGAAATTACTAATGATAAACTTTAAGGAAGTTAGTAAATGCTGACAATAGTTCTACTGTTAATGGAAGTTATATTTGGACATTTGAAATCAGTAACTTGTGCTACTCATGATCAGCCCTGGAGACAGATGGTTCTTCTGAGTTAATGTAGCAATTTCCTGGAAATATTTGTAAGTGACCAGAAATGGCTGATATTTAAAAGCGTGATTTAATGGCCAAGCAAAATTTCTTTGAGTGGCTCTTCTTCTGTGGTCTTGGAATCATCAGCACCTGCTTCCCAAACCAGCTGCAATTACAATCTCTGTCTGTTTCCATTGCAGAAGTGTTTTCAAACTGATTCATCTGGAGCTGTTAGCTGAAAGGCAAAAGCCATTTTCGCACACAAGTGGGTAGATAAGGTGTTTATTTTTTTCCCTGTTGTTACCTGGGTGCTGGTAGTCCACTAATGGTTTCTCACAGTCCCGCTGGGAGCCTCTAAGAATGTTTTCTTCCATAATTGTCTAGGAAAGGAATCCCAGAGCAGCAACAAGGAATATGATTTTGGAAGCTGTTAGCAAAACTCCCTTACGAGTGCAGTGCCAGTAACAATGCGGTAATCCGGGTTGGGCGTTGCAGCATGGCTCCTCTTACCTGGCTGAGGCTAGCTTAGGTGTTGGTCACCAAACTTAACTTTGCAGTGAAGACACACCTCTGAGAGAGCCCTCCAGCCTGTGGGCTGCTTCTCATTCCCTCTTGGGCTTTTGGGTATGAGCACAAGAGAGTTCATCGCTGAGGAGAGCTGAAAGCTGTGGAAGGCAGAGGGCACAGTCTGGAGAAGCACGAAGGCTGTTGTCATTGAGTATCTGGTGAGCAAAGGCACGGGCATCTCTGGCTCCTTCCAGCTCAACAACTGGAGAGGATTTGAGAGAAAACAATGAAAACGGTTAAAAGTGCGTGTTGCTAAAGAGTCTCTGAAGGCCCCAAAAGGCTGTGGCTGTGAAAAGGAGCCTAAAGAAAGCTGAGGAGCCCATGGTTCCCAAAAGGTTATTTGTTGGCAGAGCCAGGCTACTGGAAAAGCAGCAAAGCCTAACATTGCTGAGTTGAAAATGGCAGTCTCAGAAAAGCTGATCGGAAGTAGTAGTAATGTTATTAAAGGCAACATATGGAGTGTTTGCATGTTCAAATAAACCTTTTTACTTATGCTTTCAGGCTCTTTTATCAGGAGGAATCAACAGCCAAAGGGTTCTTTAAAATAGAGTGGTTCAAAGCAGCCTGGCTTTGCAATGTTGAAATATACCTGTTTCTCCATCCCGGACTATGAAGTAGTGCAAGCTTCTGGTCTCTAAGCACTGGGTGTGTGCTTGCATGCAGGGGCACAGTACTTTAATATGTTTAAAAGCAGTTCACGTCTTGTGGGAAACCTCAGAAAATGCTGTCTGACAAAACAGCCCATGTCTCAAGTGCTCTGCTGTGGATGTTTCGTTGAAGCTCATCTACCCTAATGCTTCATTTTTATACCTTTTGCATCCTTCCTTCCTACTTACTGCAGATACAAATTGGCTTAGCATGAAGGATGACCAGCAGCAACAAATACCTTCATAAAAGCTATAGCTTTACACAAGGCATCTATTACATACACTGCACCCCAGTTAGGGTGATATACCCAAGGAAGGGCTTATGCCCTTACATACAAGCACACCCAGTTTAGACTCCTGAAAAAGGCCATTGCTTTACTAAAGACAAGCTGACCTGCCTGCCAGGATGTGTTGCTTTTAAATATTTGTGCTGAGGCCAAGAACATGTAAGATTCCTTGTAAAAATGGAAGGCTGATAATTTTCCTGGTAATGTCTTTAATTTTTAACTGTTGGCAAAATCTAGCCAATTTTATTCTTTGTAATTTTTGTTAAGCTTTCTGGATTTTCAGGAGAGATCCAAGAGCAGACCTCTCAAGTGAAATAACCTAGCCATTGTGGGAGCGCCTTGGGCAGTAAGGGCTTGTTTCTGTACTGTTGTGCCATGAAAGCACAAGGACTGCGGGGAGTTGTGAGCACCCGCTGAAGTTGCTGATGCACTCAAGGTGTTTAGAATCATAGAATCGTTTAGGTTGGAAAAGACCTTTAAGATCATCAAGTCCAACCGTTAACCTAACCCTGCCATCCCACCACTAAACCATGGCCCCAAGAACCACGTCTACATGTCTTTTAAATACCTCCAGGGATGGGGACTCGACCACTTCCCTGGGCAGCCCGTTCCAATGCTTGACAACCCTTTCACTGAAAATTTTTTTCCTAACATCCAACCTAAACCTACCCTGGCACAACTTCAGACCATTTGCTGTCATCCTATCGCCTGTTACCAGGGAAAAGAGGCCGACCCCCACCTCACTACAGCCTCCTTTCAGGCAATTGTAGAGGGTGATAAGGTTTGCAAGGTTTCTGTCTTGCAGTTTTCTCCAGTCAATAGCAAGGGAAGTTTGTGCTGCAGTCTGAGGGAGGCACATGTGAGCTTTCTCTTGTAGCTAGTTGCTTGTTTTCACAAACCTTAGAACTGTATCTCTGACACCTCTTCTGCTGTGTCGGATTTTATATGACATTGCGAAGGGATTTTAAAAAAGAGGAGATTGTTGGGAGGGAGGAGGAGGCAGTGGTGATGGCAGAGACGCATATGGGTCCAGGAGAATGGATGAAAATCTTTTCCATATGACTTTATACCAGCAAAATGCAGCAGAAGTCCACAATCTGAAATCCATGCAGGGAGCTGCTCATTTGGCTCACTTACTAATGAATTGCTTTTGCTTTTCATCTGCAGGTTGGATTATTGGTTTAGATGCTGTTAGGACCTCTGCCTCCAGAATACATACCATACTGAGACAGGGTAGAAATCTTAAATTTTGAAGCTTACAAATTCTGAAAGCTGGAATTTTGGAGTAAATAAAATGGTGTTGCAGAAAATAATGTGCTTCAGATGCTTGGTTATTGTTTTTCCCAACAGTGCTACAAGATCTCAGAGGATCTGTGGGAAATTGTATCCTGAGGATATGGTAACTAATCAAAGCACCCTGTGGGGGAGATGGAGCTGAAGTGGCTTCCGGCATGTTAGTTCCATTGCTATCATCTGTCTTTTAAAAATTAGCAACAAAAATACATTTCATTGGTCTACAGAACCAAGAAATTTAAACTCCAGTCCTTAGACCACAAAGGTGTGAGTCAAAACAGCTCCCTCAGATTTTTTTTTGTTTGTTTGTTTTATTAGGATCTTGTCTCTTTAGTTGTGGAGGAAGAATCTCGGAAATGTGAGAAGAATTCGGGCCTCTGCTTCCCGGTTCCTGTCCCTCATCCTGTGATCCTGGAGATTGGCTGCGGCTCTGGAGCAATTGCTCTGAGTCTATTGTGCAAACTGCCACAGGTGAGCTTTTTTTCAGTGCTTGTGGTACAATAGATGCCCATGTTGCATGACAGTCTCACTCTACTGGTCTTCGTTGAGACTTCACAGACAAAATTCTTTGCTTTGAGGGGACTTCAGAAGCTAAGGTCTCTGACAGTCAGACTCTGTAAGTTCATGCTAGGTAGAAGAGGGGTATTTGTGAATTGCTCTCCCCAGCTGTCTGCAGGAGTAGCGGAGACATAGTCAGAACAGAAGAAGCAAATGTGCTCGTTCTTCAGCTGTCACAGCTCACTATTAACCACCTTGGCTTGAAGCACTGGTGGGTGTTGGTTTAAGCTAATATCCTGAGCTGTGGACAAGAGGGACTGAGGCATGGGCACACACTCTTAGTTGAATTTATGGGGCAGTCATCTCTATAAATCACCTTGCTATAAACCAAAAGATCTTGTCTCTAGGAGACTGAAGACTAAGTTAATAGAGGGAAGGGATTACCACAGAAGTGTCAGTACTTGGGATCAATATGATGAGCCTATGTCACACTGCCAAACCACTTTTTTTGAAGTCTTTTGTTCCCTAATAACAACCGACACCTTTTGAACAGAGTGAAAAGGGCAGGAAGGGGACTGAGATCTGGGTGACCAAAGCCCTTCTTGCCCCTGATGATTGTGACATGTAACACACTTACTGAGATATTGTTGCTGAACAGAAAGAGAAATTAATCCAAAATCTCATTGTGTGTGGTTAAGGGAAAAAATATTCCCCTTTCCTCAGAATTGCAAACCAGCCAGTTCTTGTGAACAAGAATTGCTGTGGCCAGCCCCTCCTCTTGTAGAAGTATATGACTTGGTGCGTAAGAATTAGAGGTTGATGCCTGTGTTCTTCTTCCCAGTGACCTGATAAGGTTAATACCTGAGCTTCGTGACTTCAAACTATAACTACTCTGATTTGCTGAGCTGTACTTCATGCTCTTTTCCTTGCCTGTTAAGTTAAAGAGTTGTGTCAGTCTGTCCCTGTAACTGATTTCCCAGCTGACTAACAAAAACTGCTGTGCCCAGAGAAATAAGGACCCTTGACTGATTAGTTAGTTGTAGCCACACAGACAGCTAAGTGGAGTTTATGCTCTGTGTGATCTCTTTAGCACTTGAGGCAGAATTTGGCACTGGGATATTGAGAAAACAGCAGCAACTTTTCACTTACAGATTCAGCTGTGTCCTTCACCTTAAGAGTCAGCTTCATGTGGGTAGGTGCTTGTCTCAGGCTGTGAAATTAATCCCCCTAGGAATGATGTCTGATCACACCGTCATCTCCAAATGCAAAGTAGTTTCTTTGAGCATGCTTTCTCTATGTAAATACTTACAAACATCTGTGTTTAAAAAACATGAAGCAAAGCAAAAACAAGTCAGGCCTTTGCCTGCACTTTTCCTAAGGTGGACTGGAAGGTCAAGCAAATCTCTAGCTGTGTAGTCCTATCTTAATATTATGCTGGAGGATTCTCTCTCAAATACTTGACGCACAGTCAAGTATGCACAGTCAATACATGCAGTGAATGTGGTGTAAGGACCATACTGGAATAACTAGGCAAAAGGTGTCTGCACAGCAGATGGAAAATACCAGAACCTCTGTCCAAGTGGTTGTGTTAATGCTGGAAGGGATTCTGTTCACATTAGAGAGGAGAAGCCTAGGACATGATCTTCTTTTAACCTGTGTCTACCCCAGAGCAGCCAGAGTGTTGAGTCTCACACTACTAGGAGCTGTGAACGTATCGGGTGATGTGAGTCAGTGTGACTGACTCCATTGTTGTCAGCTAAGTTGGTCTGGTCAGGAGCCTGTCTATTTTGGTAGGCTGCTGGCAGTGTTGCAGGGTGCCTTCTGTCACGTTAGCGGCCTTACTAGAAGTGACTCATGATCCCATCAGTGCCCTGAGATGCGTTCATCATGAACTATTCCTTTTAGGAGCCAAGAGTGAACAGTGAATTGTCAGTTCTTATCTTGCATGTCCCTTTTGGCAGAGCATGCCTGTTCAGGAACCCTGATGTTGTAATACTTGTTTGTTGTTGCTTTTTCTGTCCCAGAGCCGGGTGATAGCCGTGGATAAGGAGAAGGCTGCTGTGGATCTCACCAAGGAGAATGCACATAGGTACAAGCCCACATATTATCCATTTTTTGTAAATTGATATTTGAGAAAGACCAAGAGTCCTCAATATTTGAGCATGTCAGTCATGTTTATCGCTACTGGAAACCAGGGAATATTTCTCTGATTTCCCTAGGTTGAGCTCCTAAAGCGTGTAAGAATTCAGAAAAAAACCCCACTTAGATTTACCAGAGTATTTTTTTCCCTTTGCACTTTGCCAAGGCAGGAGCCTAAATAAAACAATAGTACTTAAATGCTTCTATCTCTCAAGGATTTTCGAAATATTTCATGGTAACTACTCTTAACCCTTTCTGTGAACTTGGGAAACTCAAGACAGCAGGTAGTAAGAATGTAAGACAAGTATTTCTCTCTCTGGCTCCCTATATCATTATTGCTGTGCTTGTTTCTGTCATTGCTCCTCTGAATATCAGCTTGCACATTTAAATAGCACCTTCACTCTGATGTGCTAGCGTGGTATCCCTCAGCATCCTCCTTGCAGTCTTGGGTTTGGCGAGAATGATGCTGCTGGGTCCTGTGCCATTTGCACAACACCTGCACTGTGGCTGGATGTTCAGAGCTGCTGAATCATAGAATAGTTTGGGTTGGAAGGGACCTTTCAAGGTCATCTAGTCCAACCTTCCCGTAATGAGTCAAGTGTCTCATGCCTGAAGTCAGAAGAGCTCTGTATCAGGTTGACCTTGTCCTTCCCAGTGGCACTGCTTCCTCAGCTGGTTCTCCTTAATCCAGGTTATTCTGGACTGTCACTAACATAGCAAGCACCAGAGATAGAATCTTAGTATGCTTTTGAGTCAAGGATCCCAGTCTCTGTAGATGTTGTACAAGATACAGAGCTCTAGTATGTATTCAAATCCTCAGAAACCGCTGGGCCCTAGGCATTAATTAGAGCGGTTTAGGAAAGGATTTCTATTGCTACCTCTTATGGAGCCTAGCACAGCTGTGAGTGCTCATTAAACTGATATCTCTGTCCCCAGGGCCTATGTACCTTTTTTTTTTTCCAGCACTGGGGCTACGGAGACAGGCTGCTTCTGTTTCTGGTTTCACTGAGCTGCACCTCTTCACTTCTTGCAACCCAGTCCCAGCTCTTATGTGAGTCTGAAGTGATGTGTAGGAACAAGTCCTTCCCAAATTTGTCACCTCACTGTTACCCTTTGCCTCCTAGTCCAGTTATAGGGAGTGGGGAGCAGAGATTTCCTTCTGATGTGTCAGTGTCAAACCAAGTTCTGTTGCAATTTTTCATAGATACAATAAAAGCAGACCGGATCTTTGCCTCCTTTGTAGGTTATTGCTCTGGCAGCTGAAAGAAATAGTCTTGTTATTAACATTGCTTTTTGGCTCAAGAGTGGCTGAGTGAGTGTAAATGCAGTGCCAGAGAACCTCATATTTCTCCATGGATATTTTCCTTGTGTCCCTGTGATCTTGTCCATGGCATGGTGCCCTGTAGCTTTTGGGCGAGAAGGCAGTAGGATAAGCTGTGGTACTGCTTGACTGAAGCCAGCTTGGTTCCTGCTTTCTTTTCAAAGCTCCTTTATTACAGCTCTGTTCTCTAGATGCTTAGGGGAGTCTTGCACTGGGATTGATTTAGTGAAAGCAAGACCATCTGGGCACATTGCAGACAGATGTAGGAGTCCCTCCCTTTCTTGATGCCTGTGTACACTGACGGGGCAGTACCACAGGCCCTCAGCAAAGGCAAGTGGAACTTGGGTATAAGGCCTTTGTCGCAGTATGCTCTATGAACCCCATGTGATAGCCCTGAGATGTTATACTGAAGAGCTGGGAAGAAAACTCTGCCACTGTGGTGGGTCTCTCATGGGAGGAGAGAACATGCTGGGAAGAACTGGGCAGTTTTGGTTTTGGTAGACATTGACTGCATTGAGGACAGGAGTTAGGGGACAGTGCAGACTCTGCCACAATGTGCTGTTGCTGCTCAGGGAATGGCATCTCCTGTGGGAGGCTTGGAGTCCTTTTCCACCAGCAGATCTTGACCAGCCTTATCTTTCTGACTTTGCAAATTGCTTCCTCGTGACACTGCTCAAATGTCTTCACAAAAGCCAGAGGCAAGCCTACTGAGAAGAGAGATATTTTAGTGGGTGGACCATGTAGCTGAGGAATTGGAGGTTCTGTTCCTTCCTTGCTGTCTCACACTCTCTGTCTCTGTGACCTCTCCTGTAGTATCAGGCTGTCACCAAGCACCAAGGCTACTTTCAGACTGGCCTTTCTTTCCTGTCCCAGGACCATCAAGGGAACTTTCCTCAGGACTCCTAAGGTTTAAGGGGATTGCTGTCTCAACTATTTTCCCCCGGCAGGGAGCATATTCTGTAGCAAGCTGGGAGCAAGGGACAGATCATGCCAGGTTGTGACAGACTGCAGCACCATGCAGTGGCAGTCTAGCAGTCTCAAGGCTGTTCTACCTTGGATTAGTGCAGTGAGTCAGATCAGAATCTCGGCCAAGATTTCTCCCTAAGAAATACCAACATGTTTATAGACCTGTTTCTTAAAAATAGCAAGCCAGCATGCTTACTTGCTCACTTGTCATAGTGGAGAGGTATTTGTGTCTTCTGGTGCCTTCAGAGGTTCTGGTGGGAGCACCCTGGGGACGTCTGGCTGCAGATGAAAGGCACTGACCGTACCATGTGTTTCCCAATTAATGTGCACAGAGATGACAGGGGCAAGAAAGATCGTGAGTTAGAAACTAGCATCTGAGAGCTCCTAATGTGTATTTTAAATACATTGTGCTGTACAGTCTGCACATGAGCTGTCCCTAAAGGAGTCCCTTTTCCTAGCCCTGTGTTTGGCACAGGGGTTCTGCTCTATGTACTGGCCTCCCAGTAGTGTGCAGTAACATCTCGTCACCTTAGCATTGGTATGTGAGATGAGATCCAACGATGCCTAGAATACACTGAGAGGACAGAACACTGTTAAGATCTAGATTATCAGGAAGGCTGGAGAAAGAATGTGGCAAATATGAGCATGTTGTCTCCACTTACAATAGCAGGTTTATGTATTTGAAGCAGGTGATTTTGTTGGGGTTTTTTGTTTGGTTTTGGGGTTTGGTTTGGTTTTTTTTTTTCCTTTTTCAGGAATGGTGAGTTAACCTGGGGGGAGGCCTTGGAGATGTAGTTAATATGCAGCAGGGTGGGGGAATACTGCTCTATGTCTGGCAAGGGGTGATACATGTAGGTTTTGGCTGCACAGGAGCTGCACCCTGGAATCACCATGGGTGCACAGTGTGCTCTTTGCTTTGAATTTTGGTCCTCTGGCAAAAAGCAGATCCTAAACTTCCCTTGCAGCTTGAGAGGAATCCTACTGCAGTCAGTGGGGTATGATATATGCATATCAGTTAAGAGATGTGATATTTAATGATCTGTATACAGAATGTGCTGTTGATGAAGCCACACAAACATGCCTCTTAATCTGTCTTCTTTCTGTTCTTGCATCTGGAATTTTACAGGCTGCAGCTCCAGGAGAGGATGCACATCTTCCACCATGATGTTTCATACAGTAAGTCTTTTCATTGTTATAACCCCCATTGTCTTTCTCCCTTTTGTTCTTTGATGGGGGGAGGCAGGCATGAGAGACAGCCAAGGGACCCCTTGGGATGCAGGCATCAGGAGGGTGTGGAAGTTAATAGAGAAAAAAAGTAATTGAGAAGGGAGCCAGTGAAGCTTTTCCCTTCAGAGATTTCCAGGCTGGATGATCAGCTGAGGGAAGTCCCTGACTACATCAGAAAGTGAATTGTTCCTGGTTTTAAGTGTCTAAAGGTTGTGTCTGAGCTGGTAGTCCAGGTGTTCTCTAGTGTTACTGGGGAGAGGCAAATATATACAGAGGGTAATTCATTTCATGCTGACATGGATGCTTTAGATAAACATGTATGTGCCTGTCTCTCCACTGATGCTAGAGGGAGCCCAGATATTTAGCTTAGATTAAATGCCCAGCCTTATTCACCTGAAATTAGGTGAGCTGAACCACAGAAGGATACCTGTTGTCTGAACTGGCTGAAGCCAGTTAAAACTCCCATTTGGTGAGGTTTATCCAGTTAGGTAGATATGTGCTCAGCCAGGAAGTGCAGCATTGTAGATTCATTAGTGCACCTTCCTGACATGATTGTTTTTGACACTGTACTACCTCTTAGAGGTAGGTCTGCACAGACTTCTATCTGCAAGTCTGAGTTTGTGCTGCCGATACTCCAAACAGCAGTAAACCAGCCAGCTCCAGTCCAAAAGCCGCGTAGCTGTGTTGGCGTTGCACCCGCATGGGTAAGCTGTCTGCCAAGAGGCTGGCTTGAGGACAGTGCCACACTCACATGGTTACATGATGTCTGTTTCAGGGCTGGTATGTGCCAGTCCAGACAGCAGCATGACTGTAGTGAGCTGAACCTTGTCTGCAGAAGAGCAAATCATTAGATGGTAGATACTGCTGAGAGAACCTGGCTCTCTTGTTCATTAGAGGCCCTTCTGCAGCTCTGATAAGAGAAAGGTTATGTGTCCTGACAGCTAGTCCAGGCTCCCACTTAGGTCTTTGTGGGCTCTCTCAAGTTCTGGTTGTTGCTTTAGATCCAGATGGGCACAGAGCTCCAGACCATCAAGGTCCTGCGTTTTGTAATGCGTTCCACTAAGCGGGGCTGTTGATATGAAAAAATGATACTTTGCCTGTGCCTAGCTTTATATCACCCTGGCATTCAAGGTGGGAGAGTGAGCAGGCCAGACTATACCAAAAAGAAATGGGATAAAATTTTATCAAAGAAAAGCAGAACCAAACACACATGGGTACGTGTCTGGAGAGACAGTTTCCTGGGTAGGATTTTGACACTGAGTTTATAAGGAGGATTGCTATGGTTGAGAGCTGGTTGTGATTCTTCTTCTTTTCTAGGTTCTGCCAAGCAGCTGCTCCTCTGGGGCCCCATAGACATCATAGTCAGTAACCCCCCATACGTCTTCCACGAAGACATGGCTTCCTTGGATGCAGAAATCCTCCGGTAATCAGATAAATAGATTTTTCTTCTCCTGTTTGTTGAAGCAAGGTTTTCTGTCTGCTTCCTTATGCTACATCACAATTGCACACAAAACATACAAATATAGTATACATCTATATATTGCAGATGTGTTTGTATGGTATAAAATAATACAGTGTTACTTTGATGCTGCTTACAGGTCTGAAGCAGTATCAAAGTATTTTAAATATTTATAAAATGGAAAAAGCACACACTTTGAAATTAACAAGTTTCCAATCCAAAACTCTTTCAGAATGTTTTTCCTGTTTGGCCTTTTTTATTTTTTTTTTCTTAATAATTGGTTTATGGAAGAAAGTACGACTAATCTGAGCAACTTTTTGTGATGGAAAAAAACTTGCGTGGAAATGCTGTGACCCATTTTCATCCTAATACTTGTCTTAAGCAAACAAACATTAATAAACTGTTTTGGGATGTGGAACTACTTTGTGTGTGCTGGTTCTTCCCCAGAACTGATTGCCATGCATGTCAGGAAAAAGTCCTGCAGCCACTTCTGTACAAGATGTACACCAGAGCAGATGCTGAAAGCTGAGCTTTCTAAATCATAATTTGCTCTGCGAGGTTGGAAGGCAGTCCAACCTGATGGTTGTCATGGTTGAAATAAAGCCAGTGATCCCTTGCTGTACAACCCCTCTCTCCCTGTCCAGCTAGCACAGAGAACAGATCCATGTGTTGGAACTGGGTGATCCTGGCTGCAGTTGGCTTGTAATTTTCAGGAAGAGTTCAGGGGCTGTTTTCTCCTTATGCTCAACATGGAGCTTCTCAGCCTAGTGGCAGCTGCCTTCTTACTCTGTATTTTACATAAAAGCTATGAGTGCTGTCACCTGCTATAGGAGTACTGGAGTTCAGGTGTGTTAGGTGCACTGTTATTCATGGAGTGTGGGGCATGGCTCGTGCCACATGAATTGCTGTTAATGTCATCGTATTCCCACACTCCAGCTATGAGGACCTTGATGCACTGGATGGGGGAGATGATGGGATGAGAGTCATCAAAACAATTCTGGCTCTGGCTCCTTCTCTTCTGAAGGATTCTGGGTAAGCACTGTTCTCCACTTGAATTTCATGTCTTTTGTCCATTCACTTCTATAACTTCTGTTCTCTTTTCATACAGGGAAGGTACAGAGGGAAAATAGTTGCAAAAATATTCTGTCCCTCCCTGCCCTATCTAATAATAGCAGTTTAAAAAGCATTATGTGTATGAGCAAAATTAGCTTGACATTGGTTAATAAAGGGATATGAGACTTCCGTGACCAGTGGTGGTGTTTTGTAGTCATTAGTGAAGTGAAAATATTTAAAGGTCAAAGCAGCAACAAAAAGAATATGAAAGAGAGCAGCAGAGAGAGTGCAAGAAAAAAAGAAAGCTTTCTAAGCAGAATAACTGATTGAAAGAGAAGCAACATAGAACTCTGTGAGAATGGATGTAGATCTCTTCTTCCCTCCCACCCTTTAATTAGGGGAAACTTGTTGATTGTGCCAGGATACAATGCTGAATATCCCAGGAGAAAGATGATCAGCCAGGGATAGTTTCTTAAATGTTACATTTCTGCATGGTTAATGTTCAAGACTGATTGTTCCTATTCTCCGTCGTGTGGGATCCATTTTGTGCTTAAAGATCAACATGCTGATACCCAAAAGTCTGTTGTGCCAGGGCATTCACATATCGTGTTGAAAATTTCTGACATTTTACTATCATAAGAGAGGTCATTGAAAATCTGCTGGTTTGAGGAGAGGAACAGGAATATTGAGAGGCATACGGCATGCAGAAGAATTCATTTGTCATGCTTTGCGTGACCACAAGAGCAGAAGATGCTCCTCAGAACTTCCCAGCAAGAGATTGGTCCCGTGGGGTTGTTTGTTAGGACTGTATTTTTTTCCTTCCCCTTTTGCTTGTTTTATAAGGTGGAGCCCCCATTGAGGAGTGGAAGTTTTTTAAGGTCAGGAATGAGATCCACACCCAGCTTGTAGTTAGTTTGGTGTATTTATAGGGAGTATTCAGTGTGGGATGTTTTAGGAACTCTCAGGAGAGTGTACAATTGGGGCTTGGCCTCTGTTCTTTGCCTGTTAAATTTGTATCTTGCTGCACTGTCATAGGCTATAACCAATTCCATTGTCTCCACGTGCCTGTAAGCTAGAGTGGTTCTGCCTCGTCACAGGAGTGGAAACTCAAAAACGGGCCAGTGTCATAAAGCCCGGCTGCAGCAGGGATGGATGTAGCCCTGCAGTGACCAGGCCTAGTCCTGGTGCGCTGACTGAGGTTGTCTGAATAGTTCCCTTATCGCTGCTGCACTCTCCGTTGTACGGTCCTCTACGTAGGTTTGAATGCTAGTAGTGTTTTCATAACTGATTTATGGAGACATTTACTGTGGGAAAATGTGTGTGCTAACTTGTACTTTATGACTGTCGCTACTGGGACTTAATGTCACCCTGGTTATACAAAGAGGAACTTCATGCTGCCAGTCCAGTGCTCAGTCTTCATGCATTTGCATTATAAATCTTTATTCTAGCCTTAAATCTTTGGGGGCTTCAGAAAGACAGAGCTGGCAGTATCTCTGCATGGGGTTCAAAAGGGATCCTTAAATCTTGATACAAGGGTTTAGCTGCTCACACAGAGGAGTACCGTGAGAATTCCCCCCAAGATCAACACTTTCTCCCTCTGAAGGACGCAGTTGGTATCTGCATCTTAAATGTACAGCTATGATCTGTTTGGGGAATATTGGATTGCAGTGTGTTTGCTGACCTTCTCATTTCCTGCACTGATAGGAGTCATCCAGAAAGAAAGACCTCAATTGTTATCAATTTAGCAACTTAAGTGTGTGTATCTCCCCACTTTCTACTCCCAAATGTGTCCTTTTAGGAGTGTGTTTCTGGAAGTTGATCCCAGACACCCAAATATGGTGAAGAACTGGCTACAGACACACCCCAACTTACTACTTGTCCTTCGTGCCATTCACAAGGACTTCTGTGGCAAGTAAGTCTTTTTTACCTTCATATTTTTGCTTCAGGTATAGGTCTGTGTTGTTTGTAGATTATGTCCCTGCACCCTGATGTATTGAATGAACTAAGCCAGAGAAAGTCCACAGCTGAAGCCAATCTTTAACATAACAGGGGCTTCCTTCAAGTATCTCAACCTTTTCATATCCTGAAATAGCCTGGCAAGTGTTTCTGAGTCAGAAATTCTGATGCAGCTAAGCATTTCTTCTGGGGTGACTAGCTCTGGTGAGATTATCGCCACTGGAAAATTGCTGCCTTTATAGGATGGAGGTAGAGGCATATTCTCCCTAGCAAGACTTAAAGCTCTGATTGTTCTTTTTCCCACAGGCCTAGGTTTCTGCACATCCAAAAACAAAGCAGATGACAACTGTACCAGAAATAACTCTTCTTGCAGTATGCTTTTTGCTGGTGAGCCTTGCTGAACAGCTTGTTGAAAACTGCATGGCAAAAGGAATCTCCACTTCATTCCTCAGTGCATTGAATTCTCTGTGCAGTGGCAGACGCCCTCGTTTCCTGATACAGACTTCATACAGAGGTGCAGAAGTCCATCAGAGCATGCAGAAGTGTTTCGCCTTCCTTGGGGAACTGCATGCAGCTTTTTAGTTCGCTCTGTTGAGGTGACATCTACAGCACCTGACAATTGGTGGATGCTGCCAGAAACAATCAAAACATTGTAATAAAGATAGTGCTTCAGATCAGTGTCCTTACAAGAATTGCTTTGCAATTACGTTTTCAAACATGCTAGCAGACCTGAATAAACATCTGGCACCCGTGCATTGCTTCTCATAGCAATAGAAACACCTAACTTCCATGTAAGGCATTTAAATGCAGGACTTTACAAAGAAGGCCAGAATTGCTACTTTGGTTTTGCAGATGGAGAAGTTGAAAAATGGGAGGTGAAATGACTTGTACAAAATTTGACAACAGGCTAAGTTTGGAGTAGGACCCAGTCTCTTGACAGCCGTGGGAATAGCTGAGGTCTGTTTCTTTGGAAAGGATGACTCAGAGTAGGTCTGCCTGAAACAACACTGAGAGAAGTCCCTGAAATGGACAGTCAACATCATGACACTATAAATAATGGAAGGATTAAATTCAACCTGCTTCTTGTTGGTGGTGGTGTCTCCAGTGTTGCAAGTTCCCTTCCTGACCATAGCTAGCCAGGGAAGGAAACAAAGCAATTAGATCAAAGGATCTGGACTACCAGTCTGAATGGAAGCAGTTGCTGGCCGAGTGGAGGTCCGTGCTCGGTGGAGGGCCTAAGTGTCCAGACAGTGACAGATGCTGTCAGGCTCTCTGTCCAGGCTGAACTGGGAGCGCAGAGCCAGAATCATTAGGTAGGAGCTGCATCAACAAACTACATCTGTTTGGAAGGCAGCAGCAGGTTGAGAGGGCTTTATGTGAGCACTAATACATCTAGTCCCTTCCCCCTCTACCTCTTCCACACTCATGCCCCCCGCCCTATCATTTGCTTTTTAACTCTTGAACATTGGCCCTGCTTTTCCACAGATCCTGAGTGCGCTCTGATGTACCAGTGCTTGGGTCTCCAGTTGGATCCGCTCCCCACCCTCTGGGCTTTCACAGCTCCGTTCACACCCATTGTACCACTCAGCCCTGCATTTATTCTCCCCACCACAATACGCACCCCAGTAGTTTGCCATGTCCTGTACACTCTTTATTTGAAGTTATTAGCCTTCTCTGGACTGCAGTACCTGCCGTGGTTAAACACAGTATAGGAAATCTAGGGAAGGAGAAAAGTAAAGTTAAAGTTCACTTGATTGTAGGTTTGGAAATAAAGTTCCAACACAGCTGACTTCTGGCTGTTTTGCCTGCTGGAGCTGTGAGTATAAATTGTAGTCAGAGGTGGTGTGGTGTTTTTTGGTTTTTGTTTTTTTTAATAGTTTAGGGTCTCTTTTAAAGTTCAGTTTGTCAGACTTTAATTTTTAAACAGTTCACAGATTTCATCTGGGTGTTGGCAGTGTTTATGCATGAAACAGCAACGTGCACAGCTTACTTCTGCAGAATCCTTTAAAAGCTGGATAGTTTACTAGCTTATGAGAGCGTAAAATGGCATCATATTGCATTCTTCAAGGGGTAGGCTGATTGCTAGCAGCAGGCTAGAGTTAGATGTCCCTCTGAGAGCACTGGTGGCTGGGCTGCAGAAAGCAGCGTGCCTTTTCTCAGAATCACTTGTCAGAGCTCTGAGCAGGATGCTTTCTCTGTGAGACAGACTCTTGGTCTAATCCAGTCGGACAAGTGTTAAATTCCTCTATTTATAGCTAAAGCGTAGTAAAAATGCTTGCATTTCTGTGGGTTTGCACTGAGTAGTGGTTATATGTCTCGGAAAATCACATGGTGCTGCTGACCTTCTCATAAAGACAAGAATGGAGAAAAATTGTTCTTCCTCCAAAGAGGCTGGATTTATTTGTCAGACTTGCATCTGAGAGAATGTGCTGGTGTAGTACAATGTGTTCTTCACTGCTTTATGCTATTGGCCCAGGCTCATTTTGGTATAGAAGCACTGCAAAGCTTTTTAGAGATGATGGTTTTAAGGAACCACAGGCACTCCCAGTACCTTTGCTAAAGCACTGGAGCGTCTCTGTGTTGTCTTTGTTGCCTGTGAGCGGGAGGCTCAGCTGATGCTGGCAATAAACTGTGCACCTGAGCTCTCTGCAGAGGCATAGCTCCTCCCTGAAGCCACAGAAGACTGATGCTTCAGTTGGCATTTTATGTAATCCAGTATCTGACATACATTTAATTCTCTGGGAATTCTCTGGGTCTTTGGAACTGTCAGAACATCGGTTTGTTTCCTGAAGTGATGCTTTCAGAGAGGGGCTTTGTTTTCCTCCAGGACTCCGAATCAGAGTGTGGTTGTGTGCGTGTGTATGCTCATATCTGTGTTTTGAAGAGTTACCGAGTGTGAACTATCTACTCGGATCACACTGGCCTTTCCTGAGGAGGAGTTGGTAAAAGCCTGGCCTTTGGCAGGGCCCTGCAGATGGTGCTGTGGTCCCAGCTTAGCTGTATCTGTGCTGGAGAACAGTCTTCCCACAGGTTTCCTGCTGTGTTGGAGCATAGCAGGGTGCAGTCCCCCAGCAAGAAAATTCAGGCCAACAGACGGCTTCATTATAGATGCAGCTGCAAAGTGGGGCTTTAATTGTCAGGCCACTAAAACAGAGCTTCAGTGGAGGGCTCATGGGGAACCTGGGAGGGGACCTCGTGGCTGTGATACAGAACTGGGGTTGTACCTTATGCTGTTAATGGGAGGCCTGAAGCCTGCATTAATCTATGGTTTTGGATAATGTAGCATGCTGGAGGACAGAGTACCATCTTTGTTCTGGCATAATTTCAATGTAAGCAACCTGAAGTGCAAGTACCGCCTGTGTTTTCAGTCTTCCACCCAAGATGTGGGATGAAAAGGACTTTCTCAGGGACCTTAGAGAGCCTAAGAAATGTGCTTATCCTCACAGTGCTCTCAACTGAGCCTATGCTCTTGTAGGCATGAGAGTCCCTTCCAGGTGAGGAATTGAAAGACACAGAGTGACTCTACTTGGGTGACGCAGAAAATGTCTGGGGACCCAAGGTGACTGAATGTGTGTGGATTACTGGCCAGCGCTCAGTTCCTCGATTCCATAGATCAAAATGGGTTAGAAGAGAGTTTGACAAGTCATTGAGCCTAATTTCCCTGTCTAAATAAGAATCAACTTGGCTTACATCATTCCTGACAAATGTTTGCCTAACCTGATCTAAAAAGCCTCCGAGGTTGATAAGGACTTTTGTATGCAGTCTGTTCTGGTGCTTTGTTGTTCTTCCTGCTAAAAAGTTATCCCTTGTACCTAGTCTTCCTTGCTGCCATTAAAGCTGAGTGCTGAGGTGGAGAGCAGCTGACTCCCTCCTTAGAGCAGCTTCCATGTGGTAATCTGTTGCTGTGTTTCTTCAGAGTCTTCATTTCTGAGGCAAGAACACCAACATATTGTGCTGTTTCTTTGGGCCGCTTGCACATCCTTCCCTCCCTGCTTGAGATGGAAAGGGGGGCCAGGTGTGCTGAAGGGCAGTGGGCTTCAGACATGTTGCAGGTGATACTTGTGCCTATGGTGATGGAATAACAGAGCTGCTACAGCTCATCTTATTACAGAGGAGCAGTCATTTTCCAAGTAGTGAAAACCAAGCCAAAATTGCATTAACACTTTGTTTGTCTGGGCAAGTTTTCAAAAGCTGTATTTAAGTTTTAATAGACTACTATTTCTACTCTGGGTTGCATCCAGAGGGGCAAATACCCAGTGAGAGAAGGCTTCTCTCACAGTCAAGAAGATGATGAGATACCAAGAGAGACTTTATCCATTTTCCAGCCTGTTTCCTCTTCCATGGATATTTTGATATGCTTTGAGTTAAGTAAGTTTCAGATGTCCTCCCTGTGGACTGTCATGTCACAGTCATCCTGTTTCTTTTGCCTGGCAGCTGCTTGCAAATCTCAGCATGGTCCATCCAATGCAGGAGGATATGTACATGCTACCACCCTGCAGTCCTGGGATCATGGCCCAAGCATGCTCTGCACTTGGCTGTTGCAACTGGGACACGTAGCAGAAATTACTGTAACCTCAAAGATGTTCTAAAATGTGCCCTAGTTGCAGAATCAGACCTATATGTACGCAGCTTTCTCCTGTCTTGCAGTCACCTCTTTGGTCGTGCTGGATGGACTTAGGCTTACGTACCTGGGCTGCAGAGTCTGCATCTGAACCATTCCTAAGATTTGCCCCCTGGCCAGGGTAGACTTTTGTAAGAGTGCCTGCAAGCGGGAGGTGGTGTCTTGCGGGATACGGACCTGTAATGATCTCTCTGCCCTGGACTCTTGGTCTCGCTTGTTGCTGCCACAAGGGGTCTGGCAGAATAGCCTTCTGAGGGTAGAATAAAAATACAATCGGTTTGCTAAATTGCCTGCTCATGTTTCTTGGGGTTTTTGATCCCCTTCAGAGAGGGTACATAAGGGTTATGTTACCCCCTAGGTAGAAGGAAAGGAGCAGACCAAGGAACATGCTAGGAGTAAGAGGCATGATCGCGCTAGCCTGTGAGTGCGCTGTGCTGAACTGAATACCATGATGGTTTTACTTCTGGGCTGGATCCTGGGATCAGGCCTTTGGGGAATATGGTGTGTGCAGATGCACTGGAGTTTTTGCAAAATCAGCTGTTTTTCAAGGGATACTCTTCAGCAAGCTGCTTCCCTCATGCCTGAGGACAGAAATCCACATGCCTGTGGATTTCACTGTGGGGACAGTGGGTAGGGATGACAAAGAAGTGGGGACCTCTTTGCAGCAATTCCTGCCCACAAGCAAGGCCTGAGAGATTCTAGCTGTGCCAAAAAGCAGGTGTAACTTGCACTCTTCTCCATCTGGTATTGGTAGGTCAGAGGCAAATAAGCTGTCATTCCAGTTTGCTCCATGTGGGAAGTTTAATGCTGCATTTGCTGGAAACTTGCCAGTAGTTCTGTCCTGTACTGGGATTCACCAAATCTCGATTCAGACCCCTGCTGTGTGACAAACTGCAGGCCTGACCTTGGGTGTATTATTGCTTACTTTGTTCCCTGCTGTTACAGTTGGAATATCCCTTTGCTGTCTTATAGACCGCTAGAGGACGTGGGGTACTCGGCTACCTCAGAAGGGACTGTGACTGTCCTATGGCAACCTCTTCGTCAGTTACATCCAGAAAGAGCAAAGAGTGAACCAACTCTTATGAAATCCATCTCATCTGCTTCTTGGTGAGACAGCACACCACCTTGCTGCAGGATGATAAATCAGATTTGCTTTGCTGATTTCCAGTGCTGCCAATGCAAAATCATGGATATGGGAGTAAGCCGAAGCACCAGCACTAGTTTTTCTGCAGCAAGTGCATCTCTGAGCATGATGAGAGCATGATGCATGGACAAACCAGCCTGCTGCAGAGTGCTGAGAAAGTGCATCCTGTTCACAAAAGCAACTGGTGCTTTTACAGTGCATGAGCATCAAATATGTTGCTGTTGTAGACAGGTGGAGAGAAGTGCTGCCCCATGTTGTGGTCTCCATTGTTCGTCTCCTTTATGTGGTTGATGTCAGAACTGTAGCTTTGTGTAAGTGGTAGCTTCTAGCTCTAGAGATCTCCTTCACCTCCTCCCTTCATCAGCTAACCTGAATGGTCACTCTTCTGTGTCTCATGTGCTCATCCCAGCATTTTGGGCAGAGTGGGCATCAACATGGCATTTCAGTTGCAGCTCCCCCGTCAGTGTTATGATGATAACCATGGCTACATGAGCAAGGCTGCCACAGGATAGAAGGCCTTAACCACAGGATAGAAGTCCTTAGAACAACTGCATGTGAACAACCTGCTGCCTGGGGAGGAAGGGGCCTTGTTCCCATTAAATACATGCTCTGGGTTCAGCTTGCTTCAAAGGGCTGCATAAGTAGCCTCAGGCTTCATCCTTTCTCTTGTGACAGCCAGGATGTTCTGAGATCATCCTGTCCATGGCAGAGCACATCAGGAGACATTGCAGGGATTCTCAGCTCCCAGGCTGGAATTTGCAGTATGGCGAAGACGAGTTTGCCATCTAAATATCCGGGGCCAATGGGTGTGGCAAGAAACTGAGGCACAGCAAAGGAGGAACCACGGCAGGGTCACAAGAAGAGCTCGAATGCTCTTAATGGCAGTTCTGGCAACCTAGCTCTAGCTGTAGTTGTTTCTCCCTTTACTAGTCTTTAAATAGTATAGCCATCCCAGCTGTCACTTGGGAGGACAATAGTGCCTCGAGAGTAGGAAGTAGTTATTGTTGTTCCTTCCTATTTGCATGAAGAAAGGATGGGAGAGTGTGACCAGAGAAATGTTCACTTTCGAGATCCTCAGTCTTCAGATATGGCACGAGGGTAATTTTCACGTTTGCATTACTGGCACAGCTGTTACTAAACACTGCAGGACCTGGACGTATGGAAATGGCTGATGTGATGGAGGAGGAAGGGAGTGGTGAAGAAACCATTACAAAAAGTTCATCTAGAGAAGGCAAGATTCTTGAGAAAGGGTGTGTTCAAATGAAGCTGAGGTTTTAGGAAGGATTGCTTGTGCTGCCACATTCTTGCTTTGCCATTCTGAAATGATAAGCAGAAGTACAGGGCTGAGTCTCCATAAGGTGCAAGTTATGTACAGGAGGCAAACTCTGAGCATCTCTGCTTAATGTCTGCACTTCAGAGAGTGAGCGCAGCCCCCTCTCCAGGGTGGATGGCTTTCTGCTGGACCACAGGCAATAGGCAAGCAACAGTGGACAGAGAGCAGGACTCTGAGGAGCGTTGTTGATCGAGAGCAGAGCACTGCTCAGTGTGTCACAAAGATGCCGCTCGCCCAAGTTTCTATAAACACCAGTTGTGCAGTGAGGTAGGAGTATATGGGAGGCAGAGCTCTGCTTCTAGTGGGATGCCTTCAGCATTTCTTACAGGGGAGATTTTGATTTCTGTTTATGCTAGCTGCCGCCTATAGTTTTAGCTCCCCGCCTGCTGCTTTTTCCTTTCTGGATGGTTAGCTTGTTTCCTCTGTTTTGTATATACGCTGTAGCTCATCAGCTTGGCAGCACAGTGCCTGCTGCACTGGAGCCCTTACCTGGCAGACTGAGCTGCTGCAAGAGCTGCAGTACCCAGTGATGCTGGTAGAAGAGTGGCTTCAGCCATCAAAATCCTTGCTGTTTGTCTGAAACATTGATCCAAGAATGTTTAGAATGTGAATACAGTTGCTTCAGTTGTTGGAAAAGGCTTGAATTATTATAAAATTCCTGGCCTGGCATTTGGCTTATGATTATGACTTAGGTTTGCATAGTGCTTTGAAGTTCCAGCTGTAAATCCAGATTAAGCTGTTACAACTCTGTTGACCTCAGCGTAGACATTCCACTCGCTCCAGCTGGGTTGAAGTTGGCTCACCTGGTGATATGTGGTATTTGTATTCTGTGAAACCAGCGTCCAGGCATTGATTTAAGCCTTCCCAGGGACTGGAGGCTGTTAAGCTGATAAATCTTTTCTCCTTTTCCATATTGCTCTGCTGCTTATCTGGGAGCACCCTTCTCACAATCCCATTGGACTTTGAGCTTGCTGCTCCTCTGGAATCCTCAGAGCCTTTGCAGTTCATGATGTGCTTGTATTGCCATGGTGCTTAGAAGCTTTTCTCACAGGTTGCTCCATCTCTCTCTAAGCTTTCCGTACTCCATTCCCCTGCCAATTGTGTAATTCTCTCCCTGCCAATATTGTTGGCTTGCATGGATAAATTTCTTTATGCTAGATAATTTGGAATAAGCTTGTGATGGAAAAATTCTAATTTGAAAGGCAGTTTCGTGTTGTGTTGTCCTTCATGTGATTTTGCTGCTGCTGGTGTTTGCTGGGGTGGGAGTCCTGGTCCTGGCATGTGCTCTCTTTTGCTTGAGAAGAGCAGTTTAAGATCATGCTTCACTCAAACAAGGCTTCTTCATTTAATGTGTATGGGCAGCGAGCACTCAGGCTGAAAGTAGATTTTGTACTTTAACTTCCAGGTCAGTGAGTTTTTTATCTCATTTGTGTCAGCCCTTTGTTCAGCATCACAACTTTTTCCACCTCAGCAAAGCGCACACATACACGCACACGTGGTTGCAGATCCTGAATTGTGCAATAAACTCCACGGTAAGTTCCATAAGCCCAGCGAATACATCATTTGTTCTGCTTCAGGGCTAGATTGTGTACCCTATTGAGCAGCAATAAAGTCAGGAGCATGGTGGTAGTTAGTTATTAATTTATTTTGGCTTTTCCATCCATCATTGCCTGTGTGGGAAAGAAAAGGGGCATAAATATTTTGGGAATGAAAATTGTGTCTTTGAGAGGTGGCCTTTGTAACTTGTGAAAGCTGGACAATTTAATTTATTTAATACTTGACTAATTTCATTAAGTATTTAATTTAGTAATTAAATAACTTTATTACTAAGTAGGGCCAGGATTATGGCCAGGCTAGGTCATGAGCATGAAAGGTGATGAGTCATTAGCACAAAAATAAAAAGATGAATGCACCCGGATGAATGCCCTATAGCCTGTTGTTGGTGTCCTGATGAGAAAATAACCGCCTGAAATCCTGCCTTTGCAACAGCTGGTGCTTGCTAGCACCCTCCTCTGCACCATCCTGCTGCTGCTGGCTTGCCTTTTCCTGAGCACCCCTCTAGAAAGCGCAGGCGCTTGCCAGTAGAGCCTCGAGCATCCATTTATGGATAGCGGTATATGTCCCACACAGGAGCAGGGCACTTGTCCCTCTCCAGGTCTGACCTGCTGCTTTCCTGCAGGCAGTGGGCAGAAGTGAAGGCAACCCCCTTTTTCTTCGCTCTTCTAACCTGGCAGTGCCTTACTCCTCTACCAAAGCTCTGCTCAGCCCTGGAGTGCTCTCACACCCAGCTGCATTTGACCTCCCATAACCTTGCTGTTTGTGCTGTGGATCCCTGCAGAATTCCCTCTATCCTGATCCTCTTGGACTTTGTCCTTAGCAAAAAATTCTGCTCGGGCTTCTCAGAGTTAACGCACATTAGCCGAACTCAGAATTGCTGTTTCCTGGGAAGTTCTTACACTGTAAAGTTTGTTTGGATTTTCCCCCCTCTTCAATCAGAACTAAATAATTTATTTTTTAAATTTTCTATGAGGACACTGTGTCCTGGATTTTGAGTTTTAGAAATGTTTTGCTCTGGGATTTCTGAATTTTTGTTTTGAGTTATATCCATTTTAAGTTGTGTTACTGCTTATGCTTACTGCTGATTTGCCAAGTAAAGACTAGTAGTAGGTCACAGTATGTATGTCATTAAAAAACCACAGTAATTAGTTGCCTTTTTTTTTTTTTTTAAATCGATAAGAACAGCTGCTGCTTAATATGACTGAAACATCTTATCTTATTCTCTAGAACAAGAAGTCCCTTGTTTGCAATGCAATGAAAGTCTGGCACTGCCATTACAACACCCAGGAATGTCTTCATCTAGAAAAGCAGGTAACGTTTTGTTCTGTAGTAAGTAGCAATTCATCCTAATGATCTAAAAAGTAATAAAATATTTCACTACTTCTGTCATGTTAGGGCAAGGTAATAACAATGCATGTGGGATAAAAACTGAGAAGATAAAATATGTACAATTTGAAAGTTCTGAAACCGAGCTTCTGAACTGCCAGAAACAAAGCTGTTTCAAGTAGCTTTTATCAAAATCAATGCTCATTCAAAAATAAATTAAAAAAATCTGTTCTTAAAAAAAGTTTTTTCCCCAAGAGGGTGTTTTGATGGTGCTTTTCTACTAGCTGTCTTTCTGCCCCAGCAAAGGCACTCATTGTTGTGCCCATTAGCATTGTGAGTAGAGAAGACTTGGACATTTCTCACTAGGACTGAAACCCAAGTCTCCATAGTGAAAGTCCTAAAAATTCCTTTGTTGCACAAGCTGCCCTTCTCTGGCTCCCACACTGCTTTTGTACCGCTAGTAAAACATCACATCAGGTGTGAAATAATTCTCCTTACCCTGAGGCAGGAGTGTGCTGTTCAGACAGCTACTGTCTTTCCTGCCCCTCACATGGGGAAAGGACAACATGCTCTCACTGTTGGACCTCTTCCATGGAGGCCTCCCTCCACGCAGAGGAAATGGCAAATGTTGTCATGCCTGTTTCTCTTTTCCAAGGTGCTGCCCAAACAAGCAACACAAATGAGTTCCAAAAAAACCCAGGATGGGCTGAGCAGGGAAGACAGCATGCATGACTCGGAGGCCACAGAATTAATAGAGCCAAAGTTTCCTTTCCTGTCATGCTTTGCATTGAGATTTGATGACTAGTGGGTGGGCCTTTGCTGCTCTTGTGGAGGAAGGTGTTTCTCTGGTTACCTTTCAGCAGTCATCACTGCAGACACTTTGTGGGAAGCCACAGTTTGGGGAACCACATTCCAGTGTGGCTCACAGCACGGATGAAGATTTTATCAGTCTTAAATTAAATCCATGCGGCTATTACACCATATAGTTAAAAGAAAACACACTGATACTGTAGAAGCAGCTTGCTTGTTTGCTTTAAGCAAACATGTTCAATTTGGGAATAGCATCCACAGTGGAGGAGGAGATCTGAGCTGCAGAAAGGACTGCAGTGGCAATGGGAATTGTAAGTAGGATATTTTCATGGAAGTTGGTACACAATCCAGGCGTCAGTAGTTTTAAGATGTAATGTATCCCAGCAGAGCAGCATGAATCAGCAGTCTGCTGCTGAAACTGGTCTGCCCTTAGCAAGACATAGGTGCCATGTTCACCCCACTCCACTGATTTAAAGACTTTATTTTTCTTTTTCTTAATAGTATGAGTGAAGGAAATGCTTAACTAAGAGGAAACGCTAAGCTTCCCAGAAGTCAGAAATAAAGATTGCTGACAGCTTTGTTGCAAATGTGGAGTATAAGAGGATGAATGACAGTTTTTGAGGTAGTGTAGAACAAGCAGATTTCATGAACTGGTTTATGCTGTGCAACCTTAAGGCCATTATTTACTGCAAGGATCTGGGAGTAGTGCATGAGTGAAGACGGGGCATAAGGGCAGTTTCTGGAACCACGCCACTGAAATAGCACTGGACAGGATCCCATGGGTTTAGCTACGTCCAAATTGATTCTTCATGCAAGTATGAAAGTACCTTTGCTTGTTCTTAAATGGCATTTAATACACCATTTTTGCCCTGTCTGGGTTTATACTGAAAGTGGATCTTTGAAAGACTAAGCGAAAGGCTGTAATCTGGGAGACATCACAGCTACACATACGACCCTAGAAGCTACAGGGAACCCCCAATGT